ATACATATATACATATATATATATACATATATATATATATATATACATATACATATACATATACATGTATATATACATATATACATACATATACATGTATATATACATGTATACATATGTATATATGTATATATATCTATATGTATATATGTATATATATATCTATATGTATATATATATACATATTTACATATATATATATATATACATACATATATATATACACATATATATATACACATATATATACACATATATATATACACATATATATATACACATATATATACACATATATATATACACATATATATACACATATATATATACACATATATATACACATATATATACACATATATATATACACATATATATACACATATATATATACACATATATATATATACATATATATATATACAGATATATATACACATATATATACACATATATATATACATATATATATACACATATATATATACAAATATATATATACACATATATATATACATATATATATATACATACATATATATATATACATACATATATATATATACATACATATATATATATACATATATATATATATATATACATATATATATATATATATATATATACACTTTTTTTCTTGGATTCTTTTTCAAACCGCTGTGTAGGCCATTCATAGAGTGACAGCGAATAGCATATTTTTAGGCACATGTCTATCCGACCCACTTGGGACGGGTTGCTCTTTGAACAAGACTTTCGAGACCTTTCAGCTTCTCAGTTCGGGCCGGTTGGTTCCTCCAGAAACAGCACCGGTTCTTCGTCTGTGCCAGCACTGCAGGAACAACCATCTCAAGCTTCCACTTCACAGGCCATCGATTTCAACATCGTCTGGTTCTCTTTCTTGATCTCAGAATTATTTGCTACCAGAAAACAGCTTCAGAGATGTTAACATATAAACATTTTTTGAAAACCAAATGAATTAGATGCATTATGGGATTACCCATCATGGTATTGGAAACCAGAATCCTTTGCTCGGGCACGCCAACAATCTATGTTGACAGATCCAGGTGATGAATTGGAAAAAGTCTACGAGTGTCTTCAGCTTGTTTTTCATGTACCTACTGTATGAAAATCTTTTCAGATGAATGACTAGGACTTCTGGCAGCCTCCAGAGATGTAGTTTCTTGCTAGCTTGCTGAGGCTTCTTACAACAAGGGCAAAACCTGCAAGAAGAAAGTTTAGTAGTGCATGGCATTCTTCGATCCAATTCTTCTGAGCAAGACCAAAACACAGAAATTGCAGCAAAATAACTCCACTAGGTGTTAGAAAAATCATAAATACATATACTAGTAAAGAGCTTGAACTCATTTTCACTAGTATTGACAGCACTGCTGGATATATCAAGTACTTAGTACTAACACCCAGAGCAATTATGGTGAGGCCAACATTACTTATGCTAACCAACCAGTTCATCATTTTTTATAATATATCTATTATGACAGTGCATTAAGTAAAGCTTTATAGCAAGATTCAATGACCAAAACATAATATAGGAAAACATTTTGAAAGCATCAAATCCAAGGGAAAATTGTAAGGCACTTGAGATAAGACAAAACTCCACTTGAAGCATGAGTCCGATTGATTTAGTAAACATGACTTCCACCTAAGTATATTCAGTAAAAGAAGTCTGGTAAAACTAAAAAGAATGTAGAGTTGCCATGAAAATGACTTAGAATATCAATGGGGTTTCTACCTAAATGGAATTAGGGACTATATGTAAAGCTTTGACCAGAATGCTTCATGCTAAATCACTAGTGACAACTATTTAGAATCAACTACCTGATATGCTAATGACATGTCCTCTGGGCCCAGTGGTTCCTTCTTTAGGAAGGCTTCAAGGCATGCATATAAAGTACAGGAATCTTGAGGTTTTCTAGGAAAAGACCGATACTTGTAAATCTGTTAGAATCATATTGCTCTAATGCTTTACTCTGCCAACATACTAGAATATACAAATGCTTTTGCAATTCAGGCAATGAAACAGGTTCGTTCATTTCTAGTTTGCGTTGCATGATTTTGCTCTTTTCATCTGTTAAATTGGAACTCGTCCTCACCATCAGTGGTCTCTTTGACAGCTTCATCTGTAGACCCACTGTCAAACACTGTTTGGGGTCTATCTTGAACATCAACTGATCCAGTATCCTTGCTTGTTTTAAATGGATTCATAAGCTTCAGGAACAGTTTTTGGATGGTGGATCCATCAACAATATCTGGCAGCATTGCCATAAGAGGAACACTAAAGCCTTTCCAACTTGTCCTTTTGCCAAGGATGTAATACCTGAATTCCAATTATCTACTCAGAAAAATAAGAATTATAGATGAATAGAAACATGTGATTGCATTAGCAATTGACCAACATGCTACCAGCCATGAGTTTACATGTGAAACACATGTAGATATTCCAGCCATAGTAATGTAGTGTCTTAGGCAGGAAAAATATTCCAAACATACATATCCCTTAATCTCAAAATATCATGTAAAAGGCATGTGTTTCTTGTGAAAACACTACTAGGTGATAGAAACCTTGGGTGTGCATTCACTGTTATGAAATTTACAAAGAAAATAACTTGTATTTGTCAAGGAATCCTAGTAAATGATGCTAAATCAGTAAAAGTATATTAAGGACTTGTAAGACCAAAAAATAAAAAAAAAAGTACTTTAAAAAGTTGCTGAAAATGACTTCTAGTATTTTTTTGAAATAGCAGAATGAAAATGTAACACCCCTGATTAGTCCCACATCAAAAGTGAGCAAGATTAAGATTGACTTATAAGGGTCTGATGAGTGTACTACTATCAACTTCAACTTAAGTATTTTGGTCAGTGGTTTAGACCAAACGAAGTTGATAGGCCAGTTAGCCCATCAGGCCCGGGTCATGACATTTTGTATCAGAGCCAACCTAGCATTTGGGCATGGTGAGAGGGCTCGAGTAGGAAAGGGGTACCCGTAGATGGAGTCAGAGGACTCGTCACGACGTGGAGCCACCACTGGGATACGCCTCACATGCACTATGCTAGGGCCTGATCAGGGTTATGTTGGGCCTTGACAAGGACGTCAAGCCTTTGAGTGGGGGTGATTATAACACCCCTGATTAGTCCCACATCGAAAGTGGGCAAGATTAAGATTGACTTATGAGAGTCTGATGAGTGTACTACTATCAACTTTAGCTTAAGCATTTTGGTCAGTAGTTTAGACCAAACGAAGTTGATAGATTAGTTAGCCCATCAAGCTCGGGTCGTGACAGAAAGTGGGATAAAAAATATTAAAGGATAGGACACGCCACAAACAGCTTAGAAGTAAACAGAACAAAAGCATCACTACTACAGCATATCACATGATTCATTTGACTTTTGGTGTATTGACAGTGATGGATCATTTGACTTTTGGTGTATTGACAGTGATGGATAGTTAAAGTTAACTATCAGACTACACAACACTACAGAACTCACTTGGCAAATATCAACTATAATGGAGTCATTTCGAGCTAAATGATTTCCCCGGTATTCATCAGCAACTTCTTCATCAGGACGACCAGACGCATCCTTAGCTTCTACATATGGCTTATGTTTGACATGATTCAGGCCCTCATGAAGTCCATCTAACAGAAAAGCAAGAAGCTCCTATGAAACAACAAACAGAACTGTCTGCATAAGTGTATTGCTTTGATATAACAATTTAACTTTAATTTTCAATCTATAATACAAACTTTTACTTCAGCAGATTCAGAAAACAAATTGGAAGAGACCAACAATCGACTAACCTGTAAGTCATGTTGGTTGAAGCCATTGAACTGAGGGGAAAAATGAGCAAGCTTTGCCTTGAAAACCCATGGAAAAACTGGCGTTCTTTCAGGTGCCCATAAGCTCCTTAATATATCTCCAAATGCCAAAACAAGTTCCCCGTTTAAATCTGATAAAACTGAATCGCATTATAATTCCAGTGACATCCAAAACCAAAACCTTGCCACAAGAGCAAAGCAAGTATCATACTGGAACCTTGCCACCTCCCTTGAGGTTTCCATTTTGAGGACTTGAGTCCACATTTCGTAAGCTGCCATTGCACACAGGTGAGCCACCAAAAGAGAATCCATTCATTTTAGATTGGTCAGATGCTGGGTCATGTTTTTTAACTTCACTTTTGCAAGTCATATTTTCTGATAATGTATAGACCTGAACTTCTAGAAGACCCTGCACAGGATAGAGAACAAAGATGTCACAGACTCACAAGCACAACAACGTCCCAGGTTTGCAACATTTTCCTTAAATAATTTGTATGATTATGTAAGACTCATCTGATTCTTTATTTTATCTAATGTTTTAGCTCTGGTACAATTATGGAACTAATTTATGAAGGAAACAAAGAAGAGACAGTTTGCAATAGTACATAGTGATTCTTAGATCTTGTGTTGCAGCAAATAAAACACATGAAGAACATTAGAAGGAATTATCATCATCAACAAGCCAGAGTGTCCAGCCTACCGGGGGATAGTTACATGGATCTTTCAGATCAGCGTAGACCAATATCCCCATCTAAATCAAGAGAAACAAATCCCCTTTTTATTATTTTTAGTAAAATTATCTCGCACCAATATCCCCATGTAAATCAAGGGAGTACTTGAGACATCATCACAGCACAACCAATAATAACTTTTCTAGTTTAGTTTAACCATCTGAAAGAAAGCCATATAGCAGCATAATTTATGCACAACGAAACTTAATTGGAAAAGCAACCTTAAATTCATTCATATATTTTGGGCAGCAATTCACAAAAAATGTTGTGAATTTTCATTTTGAGATGCTCAAGCTAGTGTGTGATAAGGCAGTCGCACAGCAAGTCATCTTGTGGAAGCGGCATATCATATCTGTTCAGTATTTCCATAGCCCTCACAAGATCATAGTGAACTGTGCTTATAAAAATACTTCCAGTACACCTAAAATATGACTCTTCATCATTACTTAGGCATCTATCAGTCTGCTTTTAATATGTTCATAACATATTAAACTTTTTTGTTCTCTATTGAGGCTAAAAGAGGTACCAAAACTCTTCAAAATGAATACTAAAATCTCATAGGTGCTAATGCACATGGATATTCTTTTCATGGAACGACTACTTTTTGATTCATGGTCCACAATACATGAGAAGCCACATACCACAACCACTCTTCATATTAGAGTAAGTTAAACAAGAAAACTTGTAACAACACAGCTACTTCATTTGTAGAAACCTATTTTGATGAAGAGAAATTTCATTTGTAGTAAACCATAATAATGAGTATAAATACATTATGATCAACCATGTTTGATCCCAAATTTCATATTATAGGAATAAAAACACAAATATAATAGAAATGTTACCTCTTGATCTGCCATTTGATGACAATTTTGAGGAAACCTATTCCACTCATTCATTAATATCAGATTTGTTTGTCCAGAAAGGTCCCAAATGCGAACCTAACTCAACAAAGACAAAGTGAAAAACTATCGATGTGTTACATGTTCCACCACTTGTTGAAATCACAAAAATATATATCTAATAAAGGCATCATACTGGTTCTGAGTTGACACAAAAAATCTTGCTCACCTTCTTGTAATTATCAACAGCATTATCCTAAAAGACAGACAATTTACTGATTTAGTATGGCATGAGAAATTTAAACAAATTTCATACTAAAAAAAATATGCATTAATTGGGAACAGAAAGACCCTCCTATGTAAAAAATTATAGTTAATCAATTTCAGTGGTCAAAAAATGTGTTCAATTGGTTTGTATAAGCAAAAGAAATTTCTAGTTTGGTTATTTGGACATAATTCTTTATCTATTTAGTCATGGAAGACCTGGTCCGATGCACTGTTGTCAAAATAATGCTAAGCACTATACTCTTGTTTCCTGAGGCACTAGGCACCTGCCCGAACAAAACAAGATGCATATCTTACAAAAGTAGAAAAATATAATTAAAGTTTAGAATGATCATTAAAACAGAAACTTTCATCAAAGTTTTTTATCTTTTTTCCTTACATCAAAACAAGAACATGATGCTGTTTAATAAAAAATAATACACCTTGAGTAGTTTTGTTACAAAACATGCAGATGATAGCACTAGAGACATTTGAGTATGAAATATTCCTAAATCCGTTTCTTATTCATGGTCACTATTGCATAATTTTTCAGAAAGAGAAACTGAGAAGTATTGCATATATAATATTTATCATTTATCCTATAAAAAAATAATTTGACGATAGAGCATTGTTGGACTCAGAATGCCTGGTTTGCCTTATTTGCTACAGTTGACATGGTTTGCATTACCATGGTCTACATATGTCATACCAGTCCAAATTAGGACCATAACACAGAACGCCTGGTTTAGGTTTGTACTAAACTGACTCCCTATTCTTAGTGATTTTAGATGGATCAACTGAGTTTCAGCCGCCAGCACAGTCATAACCTCAATCTAAATCATTCTCTTAACTATTCTAACATTAGAAACCCTCTCTCTGCTCTTCCCCTTCCTCCCACAGCCTCCACTGACCTGACCTAACAGAATACCAGTTTCTCTCACTCCAGAACTCTCCTAAATGTCATTTAACAATTATTTAATGAGAGCCCCTCCAATTCTTCAACTGCAACATACTTTTCCCTTTTTTGTTTTTTTTTCCTGCTTTGATACCAGCTGGTGTCCTAGCTGTACTGGCATTCAATATAGGTTCTAATATTGAGAAGGCAATCCATGACAAGCAACACCTTGATATCTAAATAAATGGGGTTCATCGATTGGATGTCTCAATGCATGAGGCTTCCACAAAAGCAGGATCTAGGAGGGCCAATGTACACAGTCATGCAAATTTGTAACTGTTTGATGGTTCAAAACTGAAACATGGAATAACCTTCTCGTTTAGCATCTGTGGCATTAAGATAAGAATGAAACTAAGCATGTTAAGTAATTGATACAGTCAATATGTATTACACATCGTGTTTGCCCGAGCAATCTGTTGCAATAATCCTTTCCCACCATTTAGATCTGTAATCAACTTTCTCTAATAATCCTAAAGTCAGCATATCTATAATCAATTTATGTAATGAACTAATACTGTGAGGACATGAATTCCATAAGACAAAAGCAGTGGGTCATTCAGCTACAAATGGGCAAAATGGAGCAGGGAAATGCTTCAAAAACCAAGGTACCATAAACAGGATAGCAACCATGGTGTTTGCTCCAATTTTTATATTCTTCCAATTTCTCTATCACATTCATGTTGCACTCTTCAGATCAAGTGACCCAGAATCTAAAAATGATTACTGTCCAAGCAACACCAGGACTACTCTTCAACTACAATCAACCATGAGCTACACAAGCAATGCATCAGAGTTTAGATGAGTAGAAACCACGTATTATTAATCAAAATGACAAAAATACATTCTAGACTAACATAAGCAAAAATACCCAAACTGAACAAAGTCAAACAGTCCTTATAAAATGGAACCAACTATCAAGAATCCACAATGCACTTACCTTTTGAGCGCATGCGACCACAAATCCAAACCAATCAAAGCATAACACCGGCTCCGAGAACCCTCCTCGTCATTCTTCCCCAAATTATCATCTCGCCGGAGATTAAACACAAGATGCAGAACTTCATGCCGCAAGAAGTCGAGATCTGGGACGCGGCATAGGGCACCCCCCTCGGCATATTTGCCGCCTCCGTGTCCTGCGCGTCCCTCCACCAACTGGCCAGGGACCCAATCAAGAAACCAATCGAAACCCACCTAAACGGACGAAGAACGCGATCAAAGGTCCAAGATCGGAAGAGAGCAAAGAGATCAAGCTTCGAACATCAGGGATCGTTCGAGGACGCGGAGGAGTCGTTACTTGTATGGGACGAGGTAAGCCCGGTCGGCGCTGTCGGAGGCGCCCGGCGGCTGATCAGCCGGGGAGCAATTCTCGACGGAAGATTCGTCCATTGGTGGAGGACATTGGCCACGCCGCGGCGGTGGCGATCGGGGAGGAGGAAGCAATGGCGGTGAGGCAAAGGGGAGGAGGATGCAAGGAAAAGAATTAAAAGGAAGATAAAAAGAAGAGGGTTACTTTTATTTGCATTCTGCGGCATACAATGAAGAGCGAAATATTTTACCCGCAGATCGTTACGTGGTGTCATACCTTCAAGTCATCGAGAGGAGCTTCAGGCGGGACCCACATGCGCATAGGAAAATACACGACGGATCAAGAAATAAATGAGTGGAAAGAATACTGTCGATAAATAAATGAAGGTTTTCAGGGAAGGAAACGTACCTTCTTCGGCACTGCGGATCTCACTCATGTTGTTCAATCACGATAATGGTAGGTGATCGTGTAACATGAAGTTGCGAAGACGGAGGGGGCCGATCCCACTTCGGATATTCTTTTAATATTCGACCCGCGTCGGTGTCATAAAGTTAAAGAGGATCGGGTAGGATCGAGTACAAACTACAAAGTCGTGGTTCAGACCGTTTTAACGGTGGGAAGGATAAGCTCGTATAATCTCATTCAACTTGGAAGTCCTTGGCTTTTACCTGTCAGCGTGATGTAATCTTTCGCAAATTTGAGATGGTGGGACCCACACCAATAAGATTTTTTGGCACGCAAAACCGCGGTCCACGGCGATGTACCCCTTCCCAAATTTGACGTAGCGGGACCCATACCAACTTGATAGCCCCATTTCCATACGCGATTCGATTCACTTAAATAACATTATCATGAAGATAGTAACCGGTTTACTTGTAAGATTTTGACGTTCAAATCCTGTTTTCACGCTTTATCATTTATAAATAATAATAATAATAATAATAATAATAATAATAATATCAAAGCATTATTTATAAACTGTAATATGTTATTAATGTTTATCACCATCCATCAAAATAATTTTTTTAAATTTTCACAAAGACAACAAATCTTAGATCTACAATTTTATCGTCATTTATATAATAATGTCTCAAATTTTTTCTTAAATTTAAAAATTATCAATTAGCTTAATTATAATTCATCATAAGATCTTGGAATCCTGTTTTTACTATTTACTTTGTAAATAATAATAATAATAATAATAATAATAATATACTACGATCAAATTGGTAAAGATTTTTAATAAAAGTAATTGGGAATCATGGAACCGTCGGATGGATGCAAGTGAGGAATAATGATACCAGAAAAAGGGAAGTAAAGCTATTATTTGAATCATCAACGGGTTATCGTGCTTCATTAGCATGACCAGATCACTAGATGATCCAATTGGCTAAAGCCGTCGACACATTCGACCTTCCGCGCAAAATTTGCTAAAATTTGTGCTTGCCATGATGAAGAAACGTGCATCGATACCGTTTTGGGAGCTCGGGTTTGACCCCGTGCGCATGGAGAACCCGTTAGTAAACGGACGGACCAACGTCGCACTCCAAAAACGCTGACGTCAACCTATAGGGCCCCACCTACGATGCCAACGAGGGAGACGTCGCAAAAAACCAGACACGCGGCGTCCTCCTCCCCTTACGTGTGGCGCCAACCGCAGGGCCCACCAAGAGTTGGGTGAGGTGCGGTGATTCACCGCACTCCACCATTCCTTTTGTCGTTTCTGTCATCGGCGACGCGAGCGACTTCCTGAACTCGCTGGCCTCCCGCATATAGGGTTTGCGCCACGGCGGAGGGGGCGAGGGGGGAATGGCGCCGCGGCGGGGGAAGGTGGAGCTGAGACGTATCGAGGACCGGACGAGCCGCCAGGTGCGCTTCTCCAAGCGGCGGAGCGGGCTCTTCAAGAAGGCTTACGAGCTCGCCGTGCTGTGCGACGCCGAGGTCGGCCTCCTCGTCTTCTCTCCTGCGGGGAAGCTCTACGAGTTCTCCAGCGTCTCCAGGTACTCTTCCCTCCCTTCCCGCACCTCCGGCACTTGTTGTTCTACACCTCCTCCATAACCACCGTCGCGTTCGAGATCCCTAGCCATCTGATCCCTCGGTTTCTAGGTAGGACTTCTATCCATCCATCCTCCTCCTCCTCTTCTCTTTCTCTCTCTCTCTCTCGTTCTTGGCTCGGCGGCGAGGGTGGGACGGAGCGACCGATGCGGGAACGGGAGAAGGAAGCTTAGCGGACATCGATCGATAGATTTGGTTGTTTGCTGTCTTTTCATGGATACTGACATGCCTTATCATCTCAATTGCACGTGTACGTCTTCCCGTTGTTTCCTACTCTTTCATCGATCATGTTTGCATTTAACATACATACATAACGCCTAATTTGCAATTTCGTGCTGAATTCATACTGTTCCTTATTATTTTATCTTGGAAACAACACTTCGTATTGTCTTGCATGGTGTTCGATGTTATCTTTAGCTCTGGATCGCATGGTGCATCTCCATATCATACGCGTTGTATGAGCATCTTCATCGTTGTTATGTTGCATTATTAGAATCTTAGCTACCTCGAGAGGCTGAAGGTAGCTAAATTGTACAAGGTTACAAACTTGTTATTTATTTGGTTCATAGGCAGTGTTGATGGATCGATGTGCCGTGGTTGATAGAGTCAGCACGGCCTGGTCCACTGGGCAATGTTGGGAGTCTCTAGTCGGTTGAGTCGGGTTTTGAGACCGATCGAACACCACTTTCAGCGTCAGCAACGGGGATTTGATCAGCGCCTTCTAGCCTGCGATGATAGCTTTCTTGCAAAAAAGATCGTCATCGGGTGTTTCCCGACTTTGGTCCATCCGACGATCAAGTCAGTGGCAGGTTGGAGTTTTTTGTTTTTCTCTCCTTTTTTCTCCGCTGGCCGGATCCCGACCAGGTGCTTTTATGCTACTGTGTGAGGGTCGGTCGTACGCGGGCGTAGCAGCCAATCCTCGGGAGGTGAGGCGGTACCTTCGTGTGGTCGCCGCTCCGGGACGCACGGAATGGTGCCATGCGGTGCCGTCCCGAGCTTTTCGGGACGGGACGTGTCGAGCCATGCCTTGATACGGTTCCTGGCTTGACGCGTGGGGGTGCCCCTCTTGCTTACCTAGCTGCAGTACTACGTGGCATCGCCTCGTGACGTAGTGTGGACTCATAATATACCTTATCACTTCTCCCTCCCCATCGAGGCGTGTCGTGGGGTCTTCGAGAGGGCGAGAGGCACGCTTGGGTCGGAACGCCATTGATGTGGACTGCTGGCGAGGGGAAGTTGGTTTGGCTCGTCATGAAGCGGTTCTGGGTGGCGCCCTAGCAGGGCGACATTGGTAGGCTGTCGGTTAGAGGACCGAGCAGTGTGATTTGAGTTAGAGACTAGCACCGTTAGCCGAGTAACTGATCTTGGGCTCGGGCTTGGCGTAAGCGAGTCGCAAGTCGGGAATCGATCTGGAGCGACTCAATCGAAGAGCTAGGCTGGCGAATCACGAGTCGAGAATCGATCTGGAGCGACTCGGACCGTCGCGCCGCGCGGGGCACTTGTTGGGGCAGTGTTGATTATGGCGGGAGACCGTGCTATGCGTGGAGCCATATGCCACATGGCGTGCTTACAGGGGCGACGCTGGTTCAGGCGGGAAGTCTCCTGTTGCGAGTGGCCTTTTGGCGCGAGATATCAGGTGACGAGGCATTTTTGGCGGGATCTTCGAGGCCGGCGGGATCTTACCGGGCGACGTTGGGTTCGAGCGTGACCTGGTGAGGTCAGGACGGGTGACCTACGAGTTCGGATACAGGGTGGCCTGTGCTCATGTTCGGGCGGGGCATCCGGAATTGGAACTGGAGTCGGACCCTTTTGCCGATCATCCGGCGGATCAGCCTATCGATATGCCGGCGAGTGTCCCCTTTGACGACAGGGCCCGAAACTCCTCCTCCAAGCTGAGGACTTGTATTTTCTTTTTCTTGGTTTCGGTCGGGTCCACTTTTGGAATTGTGTTGCCCGACCGCCATATGTGCTTGCTTATTTAATAGCGAAATTCTTGTTTTGGAATTCCAAGTCTTTTCTGACAGTGGATGCGCATGCTTTTTACCGACACGTCTTCTAAGCGTCTCGACTTCTTCTATGGGTATAACTTTTTTAGATTTGCTGCATTCCATGTCCTTGGCAGAGGACTCCCTTCCATAGTTTCGAGTCGGTAGGTCCCTTCTCGGACCACATCGTAGACCCGATAAGGGCCTTCCCAGTTGGGCGCGAGTTTCCCCATTGCTCGGGTCGGGGCGCTTACTTCTGTCTTTCGAAGGACAAGGTCCTTGACCTTGATCGGTCGCGAGCGAACCTTGCGGTTGTATATCCGAGCTATAGCCTTCTTGTATGCCAAGGTACGTAGGTACGCCTCAGCTCGTCTTTCTTCGAGGAGATCTAGGTTTGCTCGTAAGCCTTCCTCGGAATCCGTTTGTTTGTAGTCGGAGGTGCGCAAGGTTGGGAACACCATCTCGAGTGGAAGGACTGCTTCGGTTCCGAACATGAGAATAAATGGAGACTCTCCTGAGGCAGCTTTTGGAGTTCGCATCGCCCATAGGACGCTAGGGAGCTCGTCCGCCTAGGTTCCGTGCGCGCCCGTGATCCTCTTCTTGAGGCCCTCCAGAATCGCCTGATTCATCACTTCAGTCTGGCCGTTAGTTTGGGGGTGTGCCACCGAGCTGAACTTCAATTGTATCCCATACGATTGACAATAGGCCCTGAACTTGGCGTTGTTGAATTAAGCTCCATTGTCGGTGATGATAGCTCTCGGGATCCCGAACCGAGTGATAATGTTTTTCCACGTGAAGCTTCGAACTTGTTTCTTGGTGATGGGGGCCAAAGGTTCGGCTTCGACCCATTTTGTGTAGTAGTCGACCCCCACTATGACGAAGCGTCATTGTCCCGAAGCTGGAGGAAAAGGTCCGAGGAGGTCAAGTGCCCACTGGGCGAAAGGCCAGGCCGCCTCTATCGGGGTGAGAGGGACCGTTGGCTGGTGTTGTAGTCGGGCGTGTCTCTAACACTGTTGGCATTGTTGTACGTATGATGCGGCGTCTTGACGCATGGTCTGCCAGTAGTAACCTTGTTTGAGAGTCTTGAAGGCTAAGGTTCGTCCGCCGATGTGCTCCCCACAAATCCCCTCGTGGAGTTCGGCGAGGACCGTTTTGGCTTCTGGCGGTGTGAGGCAGCGTAGGAGAGGTTGAGAAAACCCTCTGCGGTATAGTTTTCCACCAACTATGCAGTACCAGGCTTGGGTGCGCCTCAGTCGTCTCGCAGCTACCGGGTCGTTGGGCTTCATCCTGTCTTTCATGAAGCGAAGGATTTCTTCCATCCAGTTTGGTGAGACTTGAGTTTCAGCGACATCGTGGGACGGTACTGTTGGCGCCATTATGGACTCGGTTGTCGAGGTAGCTTCCAGGCTACGGGTGGAGGCCGACTTAGCCAGAGCATCGGCCTGTGTGTTCTAAGCTCGAGGTATTCGAGTGACTGAGAGACGATTGAAGAGACGGGCGAGCCATCGTGCTTCTGCCAGGTATAACGCCATGGTCGAGCCTCGGGCTTCGTAGTTCCCGTTGACATGTCCTGTTACCAGCTGGGAATCGCTGAACACTTCGAGGTCGACCACTTGCATCTCCAGGGCGAGGCGTAGGTCGTGGAGTAGCGCTTCGTACTCGGCCTCGTTGTTGGTGGCTTGGAATTGTAGTCGGAGCGATCTTTCGTAGGTTTCTCTAGTTGGGCCCTTGAGGATAAGTCCGATCCCGGCGGCCTCGGCGATGGACGAGCCGTCCACATGCAGGGTCCACGTGCGACTGTTGTTTTCCTATTCGACTGTATGATCTTGAGGGGTTAGCTTAGAGATGAAATTGGCCAGTACTTGAGCTTTGATAGCGGTTCTAGGAGAGTACTGAATGTCGAATTCGCCGAGCTCAACCAACCATCGCAGCATTCGACCTTATGCGTCGAAATTGGACAGGATTTGTCGCAGCGACTGGTCGGTGATGACTTTGATCGTGTGAGCTTGGAAGTAGGGTCGCAGCTTTCGGGCCGTCTTTATTAGTGCGAGGGTCAACTTTTCGATTGGGGAATACTGCACTTCGAGCCCGTCGAGGACGTGGCTGACATAGTAAATAGGTTGTTGTGTGGGTGACGTTTCCCGCACTAATACCGAGCTGACCGCTTGTGGTGAGGCTACCAAGTAAAGACCAAGGGTTTCTCCGGGCTCTGGGGAGACGAGACGGGGCAAGCGGACGAGGCATGCCTTTAATCTTTTGAAGGCTTCTTCACATTCTGGGGTCCATGTGAAGTTGTCGGCATGTCGCAGGACTCGGAAGAAGGGGAGGCACTTGTCGCCTGGTCGTGACACGAATCTGCTGAGTGAGGCCAGCTTTCCGGCAAGGCGCTGTACCTCCTTGATCGAGTGGGGCGGATGCATCTCGGTTATGGCCCGAACCTTCTTTGGGTTGGCGTCTATCCCCCTCTGGTGGATGATGAAACCGAGGAATCTTCCCAAATTAACCCTGAAGATGCACTTCGCGGGATTTAAGCGCATGTTGAATCGTCTAAGTGTTTGGAAGGTTTCCGCCAGGTCGGCCAGGTGTGCGCTTGCGGTTCTGCTTTTTACGATCATATCGTCTACATATACTTCCATGTTCCTCCCGAGCTGATGTTTAAATAGGTTGTCGACCATTCTTTGGTAGGTTACCCCAGCATTTTTCAGGCCGAAGGGCATTACTTTGTAGCAGTATACTCCTCTGTCGGTGATGAAAGCGGTGTTCTCTTGATCTTTTGGTGCCATTCGGATTTGGTTGTAACCCGAAAACGCGTCCATAAATGTAAGGAGTTCATAGCCTGTTGTGGCGTCGACTAGCTGGTCTATCCTTGGAAGTGGGTAGCAATCTTTGGGGCATGCTCGGTTGAGATCAGTATAGTCAATGCACATCTGCCAGCTCCCATTGGGTTTTTTTAATGAGGA